CTCTCTCTCTCTCTCTCTCTCTCTCTCTCTGGATTAGTTAATTGTAGTAGGGAAATAATGGGTAATCGTCGTTAATTTTTAGTTCCGAGCAACGGAAAGAATGAAACGAATACTGCGGCCATTGCGGATCACGTTCTTATTTACGAGGATAATGAAGGAGATCGCATGTTAGTGGGTGATGTACCATGGGAGTAAGCTTGCTCTCTCTCTCTCTCTCTCTCTCTCTTTAATGTACCATCATGCTTATTCTCTCTCTCTCATGGACCATGGGAGTAAGTCTCGTGTAAGATGGGACTAAGTTTCTCTCTCCCTCTCATATACCCAGTGATTGAGAATTCTGTTGAGTAGTTTGTACTCCAGCTGAGTTACTGGGGGTTGGGCCTTGCCAAGCCCGAGTTGTCCTGAGTTGTGTGTCCGACTTTTTACGATATTAAAACAAATTTTTAAGAAAATATCAAAATCCTAAAAAATTAATAATTTCTTTGGGACTGTTCTGCTTTTTTGGAAGAGATCATAAAGTATTTTAGCTGTAAATACTTATTTTTATATTTTTTCATTTTTTTTGAATTATTTAAAAAGAAAACCCAATCATAAACATTATTTTCAAGTATTTTGCTTAATCTTACATTAAACATATATTTCTTTTCTTTTTTAAATTTTATTTTTTTTGCTTTTTTTCTAGTGCAGTACTCGGTAATAGACTTACTCAGACTCAACTCGAGTAATTGGCTCGGACCAAGACCAATTAGTCTGTCCGAGTCGCACGTGCTAACACTGCATATACCATGGCAGAAACTCTCTCTCTCTCTCTAGATTTGTACCACCGCTTAATTATAATTTACTTTGTTACAGGATGTTTGTTAGCACAGTGAAGAGGCTTAGGATCATCCAGAGCTCAGAAGCACCACCTGCACTAGGTATGAGAAAGCCCCTTTCAACTCCATACTTTTGTTAAGTTGAGGAAAATTTACATCCGTCCGGCATTTAAATATGGTAATTATTGGAAAAATTACAAATAACTCTTAATACTAGACTTTCTAAGGTAAGTTACCCCCAATTAAATTTTTTGTCTCACTTTTTACTCCAAAATATAGTTTCTTAGCAAATACCCCCAATTCAAATTTTTTTTTTTTCTAAACTATCCTCCCGTACTTTTACCCATGCCTCTCTCCTCTTTCCCGCAAAAAGTAGGTCCGACCTATTCTTAGGAAGGTCTAGCAGTGTAATGTCGGTCCAATAAATAACAGTGGCGGTGACAGTCTAGCACTGACAAAGAATGGTCAGGTAATAGGCCCATGCGGTCCGGCACTATCAAAGAGCAGTCCGACAATAGGCACATGCGGTTCGGGGACAGGCCCATGCAGTCCAGCAACAGACCCAAAGTGCGGTCCGACAATGTCAAAGAGAGGTCCGGCACTTTTATTAGTTTAACAGGGTCTAGCAATGTTAAAGAATGGTCCGGCAACCCATGTAAGTCCACATGAATGTCCGGCCAAAATTAAATTTTTGTATACGAAAAAGGGTATTTTCATCAAAAAAATGTATTTTTTTTTACTTGGGGGTATTTGCTAGAACATTTTTTTTTGGGAGAAAAAACAGTGAGAAAAAGAGTTTGGTTGGGGGGTAACTTGCATATATATAGTCTGATCTTGGCGTTTGCTATTATTTTTCCGTAATTATATGGACCTAAAATCTATCAAAATTACAAGGAGGTCCCCTGGGATCGTTACTTTCCTTGTCCTTTTTTTAAAACAATTTTACCTCTCCGTTTGATATTCTAAATATCGTATTGCCTTTTTTTTTTTGAAATATGGGAATTGGCCAAAGGTTCTAGACCTCATACCCCCTGGCTTGCATGAACATCAGGCAAGCTAAGCAATCTGAGGTAGGATACCTGGATTGAAATTCACAAGTAAGATACCTGGATTGAAATTTACCTTGGATCACTTGACTTGCACAATTTTCACGAAAGTTAAATACTATGAGGATCCAAATCTCGAACTGGTCCTACACTTAAAAAAGTAAAAAAAATAAAAAGAAATTGAAATATAAAGCGGTTTGATATTTGGAATATCATAAGAGGGGTAAAATTCAAAAAAAAAAACAAAAAACAGATGGACTCTGCGTAAAATCTGTAAAAATTTGGAGCTCTCGTGATTGCCTATTTTATTCAGGAAAATATACAAAGAGACTATTTACTCTCAATGCATGGAGGTCACAACGTCATTGACTAGATTCAAAGTTCAATAAAAAATTTCTTAAATTTTGTGTCACACCCCAAGCCATCCAATTTGACATTTTGTAGTAATTGTGACTTCCTTAAAACAAAAATAAATAGTATCATAATATACAATCTCTTTTATTTATGGCACCAACTTAATTTTTCCTTCATTTTATGGTGATCTATTGATATGACAAATCTCTAACCGTTTTTTTTTTTTTAAATTTGAAAAAAAAAAAAAAAGGCATTACAAGGACCTTAGAAAGGCAACAGGGCCCACCAGTGGAAGGAAGATAAGATGAGCCCACCAGTGGAAGGAAGATAATATGAATCAATCAATTAGTGCAGCTACAAGAAGCTTGGTTTTCATTCGGAAGAGCACTCACTCCCCCTCTCTCTCTCTCTCTCTCTCTCTCTCTCTCTCAATGCTTTAAGGTGATTCAAATTCCTTGGTTCTAGAGAAATAGACCTAAGGGAAGGTGATGTATAAAAGATGGTATTGTCATAGGTATGGTGGATCTTGTTCCCCTTACTTGAACTCTCCTTTGTAAACCTTTATTGTTCTATGAATGTGACCTATTTTGCCTACATCGTTCTAATTAGTTGTACTTCTCTTCTATTTAGAGTTGGGTGCGGTTTGTATAGAGCCTAGGCTCTAAACCATCAAATTAGAGCCTACCTTCAAATAGTGTTGAGAAATGTGGTTTCAATATTGGAAATTTTTGTGATAGCCTTAAAATACATTTTCATATTTATTTATAAAGTTTAAAGATTTAAAAATAGTGTAGATCGACATATCTATAAAAACTTGAAAATCTTGAAAATTGACGGTCCAAAAATACGTCATAAATATACTATTTCCAAAACTTGAGATCCATTTTTTTCTCATGTCCATGCATCTTGATGTCGAGATGATCAATTTGAAGATATTTCGGTATCAAAACGACCTCTTCTAGTATAATTTTTGAGGGAGGCTCAAATTTGATTGTTTAGAGCCTCGGCTTTATATAAACTTTTTTGGATCAGAGCTAATTTAAGGTGGGAATGCCATCTTTTGCCTTAAAAATTTGTCCTCGCTTCAGTTTCACTTCAAAGACACCATTATGGTCTCCTGATATAGATACAAATGTTCGAAATGGCAATTTTAAAATTATTTTTTTAGATACGACATGTTCATACATCATACAAAAAATATGAGAGTGGGAGAGATTTTAAGTGGCATTAAATTATATAATGAGATTTAAAAAAATGAAAGTAAGACCTATGTAACCTTTTGCCAGTGAATATAATATATATATTTTTTTAAATCACCTTTTTCTGCTTTGGCAAAAAGATCACTTACATAAGGTCTTATTACAATCAATAAATATTTCAAAATAAAGGCAACTTAACAATAAAATAAAACACAACCACTTGATGCCATTTATACAACTAAACACTACGCTTGAGAATAAAAATAAATTTGTATGAAATAAAAGAAGATATCAGCGATTACCTCAATCAGGTTTATTACATCCCACATCGAGTTACCAACATTCGATGGTACGAGATCAGTGGTCTAGCTTCAATCTTGAACTGAGAAAGCTAATTTCGATCAAACTGAGTAAGCACCATTAAATCTCCACAAAACCCTAACTCCAAAATAATTTAGGCTTAACCCTAATTTTCTAACCCTTAGTATCTTTAGGTTAAGAGAGAGTGAGAGAGTAGGAGGCCTAGGGTTGGGGTATCTCTATGGTATATAAGGGTATCTCTCGCACATGCATATGGTTCACCCAAGGTGGATATCTAGCTTTCCCGAACGATCTATCGATATGCATGCCGTGTGATAGATCATAGATGAGGTTTTGGCCCCCGTCTCTGTAGGCCTACCACCACACACCAGTGTCACACAGTCCCTCGGCTCACTCATCCAAGCATAAACTCCGAACTCATCAAGGGATAACCCAGAACCCTTCTCGATTTATTCTCTATGCCCAGGCACTTTGGGTTTTCCAACTGACTGGCCTAGATCGTCAAGCACAGTCCGGTATCAGCAAACATCATTTGCTTAGTATGGTCCCTGAGGGACCACACTCCCATTGAGTTTATATTCCGCTATAATAAATGTTTTCATTACACACTCATAAGGCCTTTAAAGGCCACATAAACCCAATATAGATGATCAATTTGAAGATATTTTGGCATCAAAACAACCTCTTCTAGTGCAATTTTTGAGGTAGGCTCAAATTTGATTGTTTAGAGCCTTGGCTCTATATAAACTTTTCCCTTTAAAGTTTGGCTCAGAGCTAATCTAAGGTGGGAATGCCATCTTTTACCTTCAAAATTTGTCCTCGCTTCAGTTTCACTTCAAAGACACCATTATGGTCTCCTGATATGGATACAAATGTTCGAATTGCCAATTTTAAAATTATTTTTTTAGATACGATATGTTCATCCATCATGAAAAGAAATATGAGAGTGGGGGAGATTTTAAGTGGCATTAAATTCTATAATGAGATTTAAAAAAAATTTATAAAGAAGTGTCCGAGTTTTTAAAGTGATCAACATGTCTTTGATATGTTAACAAATGTTAACAAATATTAAAAGAACATGGATATCATCTTTAATATATTGACAAATATTAAAAGAACTTGGATACCGCATGTAACTAATGCGCCTACAGCAAGTCCTTTTCTGAAAAATAAGTAAACCTTAACATTTCAGTGGCTATTGAGGGTGTTGGGAAGCATATTTGTGCCCAAAGAGCACGTATAAAGTACTCCTGTCGGAGCAAATTGTGCATACTCTCTCAAATAGAGTACTTGCTTAGAGGGATTTGTTTGATATGAAATTTTAAAAATACTTTAGAATCACAATGAGAATAATTTCGAAAAAATTGAATTTGACTTGCTTGATATCTAGATCTAAAATTTGGATGTTCGTGTTCAATCTTGTGAAAAAAAGAGAAAAACAATCCAATTTAAAGCAACATATATCAACTTTATTTTTTTATATAGTCACTAGGATTAGTAGAATAGATACCAAAATCTGGGATACAAAAAATTTTCTCTATAATATCACCAAAAATTTAATCATAGCGAAATAAGAAGGCAATATTTTAGTAATAGCTGCTATTATGAAAGCAAAAACAAATTGATCTTGGAAAATATCAGAATGTATCTTCTGCACTTTAAAGAAAAAATGAACATGTTTTGTTTATTTTCAATGAAACTTTCCATCAAAGCTCTTAGTTTAGGTAATTTAGCCAAAAAATTGAACTTTGAAACATTTCTATCTCATACAAGAACTTTGGTAGAAAAGCTAAGGTAGAATACTTACAGTCCAGGAAATGAATAGCTGAAAGAGTGGATTTGGATATATGTTATCTCGTGAGCATTTGGAGAGAACCATGATTCTATATTTGTGCTATTTGGCTGATTTTGTTTTTTGTAGAACTTGGATTTTCCTTTTTATAATAAAAAGTCTGTTGTTTTTCCCATTTGCTTTTATTATTAGGGCGTGGTTTGCATACGGTTGCAACCTTAAACAATCCAATTAAATTTGATCATAAATGTAATTTTGATGTCAAATGGCTTGAGAAACCATTTTTATCCCTAATTATCAAATTTTAAATTCTAAAACTGGTTTAAATAAAGCAGATCTATAAATATTAGAGTATGTGTATCTACATTGATATACATCAATACATAATGAGATATGGATATATATGAATATATATCTCTTAGGTGTCTCTTGGTTATGATAAGATTAGTTAGTAGTTATCCATAACCGTTGGTATTTATCTTTAATTGTTACTAGCCGTATATTTACACAGGTCTTGTATATTCTTTAATATTTATACAGGTCTTGTATATTCTTTATGAATCCATCAATAAAGAGAGAGTTCTCTACAGTATTCTGAAATAATCTTCCATGGGGACCTAGGGCCCAAATATATATAAAAACAGTTTCTAACATGGTATCAGAGCATCAATTTGTTTTCTTCTTCTATAAGACTCCTAGTTTCTCTCTTGAAAGGATCTCGAGAAGTTGGGTTTCTTTATTTTTATTTCTTCGGTAGTTATGCCTTTTTCTTCATATCAAACTCTGCCACTGAAGGAAAGAAGATCAAGCTACTCCATGCCACTTGAGCCTTTTTATGGGCTTAAGACCCATCTATGTAGAACAATTTTGCAAACTTATCTTTCGTTTCTGTTTTGCCGTGGATTTTGATTTGATGATAGAGAAAAAAGTTGGTGCCAAATTTTTGCTTGCAAATCTTCTTCAAAGTTTTTGCAAGTAAATCTCCTTGCAAGCAATTCAATAGCTCGTGCCTAATTTTTGCGAGCTAATCTCCATCAATTACTTTTTGTAAGCAAATCTCCGTGCAATTTAAAACTATTTGTGTGTGTCTCAGCAAAAGCTTTCTATTGACAATGTCCATCAACAAACTGTTGTAATAGTTTGTGTGCATCATCGTCAAAGAAGCTACATGAATTCTTAGGTGGCTGTAGAGGTATTTGCTGCTCACAGTCTTCATCAATCTCTAAAAATGGACTCTAAAACGGCCAATATGCACTATCAGACGAGTCCTTCTTCGACTCTCTGTCGAGTCCTTCTTCAACTCTCTGCTGAGTCCTTCTTCGACTCTCTGCAAAACATCCATCATCTTTGTTTTGGGCTGCGAGTTGCTGAATCTGTCTTAGATCCTTATCGAGTTATGTGTTTCTTCTTCAAGCAAAGATATCACTGCGTCCTCGGTGCTTTTTCTTCAAGCAAGAGACCACTGCTTCCTCTGTGCTTCTTCTTCAAGTAAGAGACCACTGCTTCCACTATGCTTCTTCTTCAAGCAAGAGACCACTGCTTCTTCTATGCTTCGTCTTCAAGCAAGAGACCATTACTTCATCTGTGCTTCTTCTTCAAGCAAAAGACCACTGCTTCTAATGGTCACGCCATGCACGTGAAGACTTAAAGATCCAACTCGTTCGTTTATGCAACTTATTGTTCAAACTCGAGCTGCTTTGTGTCAAAGCATCTTGAGTTTGAGGGGGAGTATTAGAGTATGTATATCTATATTGATATACATCATTATGAATACATAATTGTTGGGTTTATGTGGCCTTTAAAGGCCTTATGAGTATGTAATGAAAAACATTTACTATAGTGGAACATCAACTCAGTGGGAGTGTGGTCTCTCGAAGACCATATTAAGCAAATGATATTTGTGGATAACGGACTGTGCTTGACGATCTAGTCGGTTAGAAAACTCAAGGTACCTAGGCATAAAACATAAACCGATAAGGGTTTTTGGGTTAGCCCTTGATGAGGCCGGAGCTTATGCCTAGATGAGTGAGCCGAGGGACTGTGTGACCCTTGTGTGTGATGGTAGGCCTACAGAGACGGGGGCCAAAACCTCATCTATGTTTCATCACACGGCATGCCTATAGATAGATCGTTCGGGAAAGCTTGATATCCACCTTTGGGTGAAGCATATGCATGTGTGAGAGATACCTCTATGCACCATAGAGCTGTGGTCGCATCAGGTCGTGGTGACCTTGACTTGTCTCTAGGGGAGGAACTATAATCCACAGACTAAGATTGCGACTCTTTGGCT